TAAGAAATGTACGCATTATCCTGCCCATGCAATTGTAACCCCTCTGTACAGTATGTTCACAAATAAAATTAAATTAAATTTAAAAAAAAGAAAAAGGTTTAAACATTCTTCCTCATTTTTAACATGTAAACTGATCCTCTTATGTATCTTCAGTTTCATAAAACTTCAATTGTTTGTACTGGTATAACTCAAGGCATCATTTTGCTTTAAGATGAAAAGCTCATACATTTTCACATTTGTTTTTGGTTACCCACCAGTAATAGGCATAGAGAGATTTAGCCTTCAGAAACCTTAACAACAGAGGGTAGAAATATTTGTCATAGTCGCTAAAGGATATGAAAAGATCCATATACACTTACTTGTCTTTTCATAACAATTATTTTTAACCAGAACACACAACAAATACATTTTTAAGCTGAGTTTTAAAAAGAAGAAGAACTCACGTAAATTCCCCAGGAAGAGCAGCTATGGCCAAGAACCCAAGAGTAATTATCTGAACATCAACAATATCTGGATACCACGGATGAGGTATGGATATCTAATGAAAGGAAGAAAATTGCATTAGTATATTATTCTTTCTGTAGTAAACAGACATATGATCACAGAAGTTTCTTTATTCAAAGATCTATAGTTGAAGCTCATTTTAATGTTTTTGTTTGTCCTGCCATAGGATCTACTTTTAATTTATCATATAATATTAAATATGTCATGTGGTGAATATGTCTTGATCATAATATGTGAATCTCACATGTTAATACTATAGGTTCCTCAGCATAATTGTTTTGGATTGATCTATAATTCTGGAGTAAACAATAGGTAACAAAAAACCTAGTGGTCCCCTAGAACAGTGTATAACTGTCCTTACACATGGTGAATTTCATTTGAAACAGTTTACCCTAATTAGCACTTGACCCTAACTGCACTTTAAGTTTACAGTTTCTGTATCTTGCTTTATCTTCCTAGGTTTCTCCAAGAGAACCTTGGCTTTTTCATATTCAAATTTGTGTAGCCTATCTTTCCATTTCTTCCTTTCCTCTTTCTGCTTCCCTAACAGTTTTAGTAAACTATTTTTCAAAAAGTGTTTTTAAATCTTGCTCATTCAAACAATCTATGTTTTTATGAATACAGGAGTGATGTTTCAACCTTTAGAATGTAAAGGAAGTGTTAAAAGAATATTTTAATATTAAAAATTATTGAGAGTAACTAAAAAAGATCAGTGAGATAACCATTCATTGTCTGATAGTTCTCAAATTTACTAACATCCATGCACTAATTGCATATGAAAACCAACTGTCTTACCTCTCCAGTGTGAAAAAGGATTGGCTTTGGCTTATGACATTCTTTTAGCTCATTGGATGGTATGCCCAGGACCAAGGCCTGAATGATGTCCCAAAATGGATCCCCTTCTGTTGTCCCTATGAGGAATTACATTTAGTGTGCTTCCTTGAGTTAGCCCTCTGAAAGAAGGTGCACTGCCACAAATATTGTCAGTGATTTTATTAAGGCTGTTGTCCAATTATTCAAACAGTTTGAATAAACAAAGAGGAAGAATATTATTTTGTGAATCACAAAATAAAAATCATTAGTTGATTAGATCTTCTGAGTATACAGAGAACTAAGAGCCTATGTTTTGTTCAGTATCCTCAAGGTTTTACTTCTATTTCTTTATTTATTTTGTAAATGAAAACATTTTGAATTAATTAACATATTGGTGAGCTAAATCACCTTTTTTTGTTGTGCTGATCTTGAGGCCTTCATGGTGTCCCTGAGTTTTTTTTACCAGCATGCTACCACTCAAGTCACAGATACACTTTTGACTTTTTTAGTGGTTAATTGGAGATAAAGAGTTTCAAGCAGACTCTCCTGCTTGGGCTGGCTTTAAACCATGACCCTCAAATCTCAGCCTCCTGAGGAGCTAGGATTACAGGTGTGAGCCACTGATGCCAGGCTACCTTTTTCCTATTTTAAAAATAGGAATAGCTTGTAATGTCAGTTGTCTGGCTTATGTCTTTGAAACAGTCCCTCTTGAATATTCATCCAAACCCATATAAGCATAGAGTAAAAACAAAAAGCAAGCACCAAATGCATAATGTCAGACAAAATATTTAACTATGAAAACCTACAAATTCAGCCAGGCGCAGGTGGCTCACGCCTGTAATCCTAGCTACTCAGGAGGTTGAGATCTGAGGAGCACGGTTCAAAGCCAGCCCGGGCAAGAAAGTCTGTGAAACTCTTACCTCCAATAAACTACCAGAAAACCGGAAGTGGCACTGTGGCTCAAGTGGTAGAGCGCTCGCCTTTAATGAGCAGAAAAACAAAGTAATTTTAAACATTTAGGTACCTACTAGCAGAACAAAAACTGAAATAAAACTAAAGAAAAAGAAAGGGAAGGGAAGGGAAAAGGAAAAGGAAAGGAAAAATAAGAAACTCATCAATATTGGCAGAACATTTAATAATGAATAGAACAATGAGGCAGATTAGCCAAGACATAGAAAACTTGAACACTACTAGAAACCAACTAGTTCTAACAGATAACCAATAGAATATTCCATACAACAACAACAAAATATATTTTCAGTTCAAATGCACATGGAAAAATCACCTAGGACAGAGCATAAAACAAAATTCAATACATTTTAGAAGGTAATAATAAAATGATACAATATTGTATTCCAACAGTGAAGTGAAATTAGAAATAAGTAAAAAGGAAAGCATTAGGGGAAAGTAGGCATGATGGTACATGTCTGTAATTCCAGTACTCAGAAGGGAGACACAAGAAGACCACATGTTTGAGACCTGCCTAGTCTACATAGCAAGACTCTGTCTCAAAATAATGTAAAAGATTGATCTAAGATGACAACCGTGAAACCCAAATCACCCACACTCCTAATCCCCCTCTTATAAAAAAGGAGAAAATAAAATACAATCAGGAAGATGATAATCCAAAACTTTAGTTTTATGAACTTGGCAAGCAAATTTTCAACTGATCTCTAAGTGAGATAGTGTTGAAGATTTTGAGGCTCTATATAACCATACCCACCTGGGCCGGAATTTAATATATGGCTGTGACTACTCATGTTTTGTTTTTTTGTTGTTGTTGTTTTTTGTTTTTTATTTTTTTGGGTCTGGTCATGGGCCTGAACTCTGGGCCCGGGCACTGTCCCTCAGCTCTTCAAGCTCAAAGCTAGCACTCTACCACTTGAGCCACAGTGCCACTTCCAGCTTTTTTCTTTTTATTTATGTGGTGCTGAGGAATGGAACCCAGGGCCTCATGCATGCAAGGCAAGCGCTCTACCACTGAGCCACCTTCCCAGCCCCACTACTCATGTTATAAAGATGGTTTGGGATCTATATAGGAAAGTGAGGAAGAACCATAGATAATTTACTGAAGAATCAACAAAGACAGACTAATCTCAATCACTTTGGACTAGAGATGATGTGTAGCACTCAGGCAGTCCTGAGATAATCTGCCACAGTATCTGAGTGGAAGATGACCACAAGTGGTTGTAGAGCTACAAGTATGGCTCAACTGGCAGCCAGCCATGAGACAAAAATCCTTTAGGGGACATGAGGCCTGAATTCAAGAGATCATGCCCTAGTACCTATACTAAATAAATGAATAAATAAATAGAAAGAAGTAGAAAGGGAGGAGTCCTAAAGGAAGTTCAAACAATAGATGGCTGCATAAGCAAGGACTCTGAGGCCAAAGCCTCCGATTCCCTGGAAAGGAGCCCTATCACCTGAGGGTTACAATGGAAAGTGAGCACTATGCTATATCCAGGACCTGAACTTCAGCTATGTGAACGCTGCTAGGTAGGACTGAAAACTCCAAAACCCATGTGCCCCACACCCAATAGAAGGGCTACCATTAATATGTCAGATAAGAACAAGCACTGACCAAGATGTGGAAAAATTAGAACCTAAGGTATCACATGGCATTCCATAAAGTTGTATAATAATTATCTATCAATTTAGAATAATCATACAAAGTCAGATATTGGTGGCTCATGCCTGCAATCCTACATATTTATGGCATTGAGATCTAAAGACTGTAGTTCTAAGCCAGCCAGGGCAAGAAAGTTCATGAGACTCTTACCTCCACTTAACCCCCAAAAGGCCAGAAGTGGAGCTTTGCCTTATGTGATAGAGAACTAGCCATGAACAAAAAAGCTCAGAAATACTGCCCAGAAGCTAGATGAAGCCCCCATGACTTACACACACACACACACATACACACACACACACACACACACACACCATTAATCATAAAATAATTAAATACATTCATTAAAGTTATCATTACAATGAAATGAAAAGTATTTGTCTCTGATTAAATCTGAATGAGCAGAAAGCTAAGTTAAAAAGACTCCTGAGACAAAGGACAAAAGGTGAAACAATTCAACAACAATACTCACAAGACAATATGTTGGAAGTGAACTGTACAACTTGGGGGTGGAGGAATAGGAGGGGAGGGAAATGGGAGAAAAATAAGGGAGGCTGTAACAAGTTCAACAAGAAATGTACTCACAACCTTATGTAACTGTAACCCCTCTGACAATAATAACCCCTCTGACAATAATACCACCTTTACAATAAAGTTAAAATTTTTGAAAAATGAGAGAGAAAAAAAAAAGACTCCGAGCTCTGGGACTTCTAAGCTGACATGTACAAACCTTTAAAAAAAGAAAAACAACTGTGATTCCAGAGTTTAGAAATTAAAATAATGCATGCAATGGCTCTAATTAAACCTTGTGAGTTAAGAGAATGTGAAGCTCAGCAACATGGGAAGTATGGACCCCACAGGCGTAACGCTCACCCTGTTTAATATTAGCCCAAGTCTGGTTTACCTAAAGGAAAAATCCAGGAAATATTTTAAAAGCAGAATAAAAGCCAAGGAAGAAAGTGAAGTCAAGCAACAAGTAATAACGCCACCATCCTTTGGCATGACTCATGCGACTCCACCACACTTACTGTGTGTGTGGAATTGAGCTGGATGCTCATGTCGGTCATGTTCATCCATTGCTGAGCCACAGCCACAGGTCCCGTCACCTCTTTGGAAGCAGATGCATAGAGTTCCTAGAAGAGCCAGGCAGAATTACTGTCCCAAAGGAATGAGCTGAGGCTACAGGTGGACGCATTGCAACAATGAGATGTACAAGTCTTATGTGGAAAAACGAACTTTACAACTTTGGTGGGGGGTTAGGGGAGAAGCGGATGGGGAGAGGGGGGAGTATGGGAAGGGATGGGAAGGGGAAACAAAGAGGAGGCAACAATGCTTGATAAGAAATGTACTCGTTATCTTGCCCATGTAATTGTAACTCCTCTGTACGTTATTGTCACAATAAAAAATAAAATTAAAAAAAAAAAAAGAAAGAGCTGAGGTGGAGTGAGTTCCACCTGTGGTCCCAGGAAGCACCAGTCTGGACAGCATTCCTCCACTAGGAGGTGCTCCACTGACTGCTTTGAAATAGCTGCTGTCCACATGGCTACCTCCACTCAGCCCAGCTGTGTCCCAGAAGCTTGAAGGCTGGGAAACTGCTGATCTGTCTTTATGCCCCACAAATACGAAATCCTAATTGTACAGGTTGTGACACAAATAGCACCAATAATACTTGAAAGGCCACTAAGCAAATTATGCACTTGCTAGACTGATACTATAAAATCTTATTTTGTTGTTGTTGTTTCTTGTTTTTCTTAGTTTTTTTTTTTCAAGTAGAGTCTAACTTTTTCCCAGGCCAGCTGGGGATGATGATCCATCCAACTCTATCTCCCAAATAGCAGAGATTACAGGGATGGCCCACCATTCAGAGCTGGCCAATAAAATTTAAGATGCGAAGAGGGCCAAAGCTCTTCTCATTTGGGCCAATAAGAGCATATCTTCTTAGATGGTATTCTTTTTTATGTTTTCTTTCTCAAGAGCCTTGAGAAAGAAACTCATAGATTGCTCACATGCATGCATGTGTGTGTGTGTATATGTGTGTTTAATATAGCCAGCTGATGCATTTTTAATCTCGTGGAAGATGGTAATTTGGATAGGTTTATGTTGGTTCATGGGTTTCAGACATATAAGTGAATTATGCTTCAGAGCAAGTTCCATGGGCTGACACCTAGCTCATGTCCACTTTGTCGTTCTCTTTCAATGGTCACATAGGACCTCTCAGGATAAGTGGCCAGAACCCTGGCAACAGCCTTTCTCTCCTAATTCAGAGGAATTTTGCCATACTGAGAATGCAGAATTTGGGCTAGACCTCCTTGGCTCCCAGGCCCAGGAAGGTAACAAAATTTCTGACAAAGTGTGTCATAAGCCCATGTCTTAAATAGAATTTGTTCATTTAGAATAATCTACTGATAATACCACCCTAATTAAAAAGAAACTTTGGCAATTAGACCAGCTACTACCAGCACTCTCGTGTCT